GGCATGTGCCCTGACCAGGAATCAAACCGTGACCTCCTGCTTCATAGGTCAGTGCTGAAGCCAAAGCTAAGTTTTTTCTCATCCACAAAGCTAGAACAAGAGAACTGATAAGGCTGCCATGAGGAATAAGTGAAGTAATTCTGAAGATCTCTTCCAATGCCAAGGGCTTCATGAATGCTTAGTGATGGAAATGATTTCACCACCATCATAATCATGAATGTATAACCTTGCTTTGGGAAGGAGAGAGAATTTGGGGTGCCAGGTGAAAAGCTGGAACTGGCCTGTTTGTACAAGTGTTGATGCTCTGGTTTTTACAGAGCTACCAAATTATCTTCGTTCCAGGAAAATTGGGCTGGGCTTGAGGCTAGATGTGCTATATTAGTTCAGCTCCCACCCCCTCCCTGGCCCTACCTCTGAGCAGAGGCTTTTCCCAGGGCTTTACCTTGCTGCTTTTGCATGGTGGTGAAATCCTCAAAGGTGAGTGTGCGTACAGGGGGTCTCCAGAACGCATAAGTCTCCATGATGGCTTCCAGTCCGGTTCTGCAGAGAGAAAAGCCAGTAAAGGAAGTCGTAAGTAATCCCAAGAAACACACTGACTTTTTACAGGGCCTGGGTGGTTTTTCTGGCAGGTGGTATATACAGAAGCACTGAGAGACAGCAACACCAGTAAACTAATCAGGAAGAGCACAAGGCACACGTGACACTGGGTGGCCAGAGGAAGAAGAAGATTATTTGCAAGCAAGTCATAACTGTAATGGGATTTCACCCTGACCTTCCTTCAAAGGAGGTTTGGTCTGCATGAGAAAAAGAACAAGTTAAGGTCAGGGTCACAAATATCATGAGTAGAGTTGAGCAGAGAGTAGCTACTTTACCCTTCAGTAAAGTCTGTATCATTTATATGAGGTGTTGACGGACATCATTTTAACATAACTATCCAGGTTATCTCAGACATTTTTTTTGCGGATATTACATATCATCAAAACAGAGTATTAGATGGGGTTTCATTTAAAGTTTTGAACACAGCTTCTGATTATTGACTTTTGTTTAGAATTAACTGCTTCTATCTAAGTGGAGGAAGGGAAGTTTGGGGACTATGGAGGAGGAGGGTAGAGAAATGGCATAAGTCACTGAAATATAACATGGTGTCCCTTCCTGGAAAAGACAAGTTTTCCCGCTTGAGATGAAACTTATCTCCCCAGGTAAAACATTTCCAGAGTTCTCTTCTGTCTTGTATCCCAAGAGGAAAGTGAGAAGTTTTATTTTAAGTGAGAACAAATATCCTTTTCTTAAAAATCACTATAAAATACCCTGAGGTTCTTCTCAGATGAGCTGCTGATAAACTGATTGGCTTTTTGTATTGGAACTTCCTCTCTGAACATGCCTTACTTGCACAGTTAACTTTCTCAAGTCTTCTCTGGAATCTTGGAGGCTTTAAATACACCAATGTTGGCAAATCAAACACTGTATTTTTAGAAGAGGTGGGGAGGAGAGGGTGTTGCATGGTGTTTATTAGCTGTTAATCTGCTAAAAGTAGGAATAGAAGACATCTCCACATAGTCACCTTACATTAATGTTGAATACAGTACATGAAACTATTTGTGGAGAGAAAGAGTCCAAGCAATTAGGACATTCGAATACTAAGGGGATAGGCAGGTACAGCCACATTGAGCCTTGCTGAATTTAAGAAACAGGACAGGCTGGGTCTTACTGCCTTGCTTTGGAATGTTGTGGCCCATCAGAATATCTTAGGGTTCCCTTTGGTGGCATGGGAGGCTTACTATAAATGATGAGCTATTTATTGTTTGACCTCCTCTATTTCATTCTTTGTAAGAACATGTATCAATGATGGTAACAATATTAGCTCAAGAACAAGAAACAGTCCCTTTTCATTTCACAATAAGGTGATAGAAGACTGTGAAGTACCAATAACACTCTGATAATATTTCCAATATTATTTTATTAAAAAAATAGAAAATTAACTATTATTTCATTTTCATAACAGGCAAAAAAACCTGTGGCAAATGTATTGATATTTTTATTTAAAGCAATCAACTGTATATAGGATAGTGACCATTTAGCATTTATCCAAATCTAAAATCCACCTGAAAGACTGAGTTCCAGAATCCTAGATTTAAAAATCGGAGGGAGCCAAAACTGGTTTGGCTCAGTGGATAGAGCGTTGGCTTGCGGACTGAGGGGTCCAAGGTTCGATTCCAGTCAAGGGCATGTACCTGGGTTGCGGGCACATCCCCAGTGGGAGATGTGCAGGAGGCAGCTGATCGATGTTTCTGACTCTCTCCCTTCCTCTCTGTAAAAAATCAATAAAATATATTAAAAATAAATAAATCGGAGGGATGTTGGGTGTCACCCTATGATACCATTTGGATGGTTATCCAGCCTCTGTTGGAGTATTTCCCAAGGGAAATATTCAGTTTTTTAACAGATCTATTAGAATCTATTTATGTACTCAAAGTATATCTCTTTGTAGAAAAATTAATCATATTTGTTTACTGTATGCCACCTCTTATTTGTCCTCAAACCTCATCATTAAGCTTCGTTGGCTAGATCTAATTGTTAGAAAATATAGCTCTATATATCAGGATTTGGTGACGTGCCGTGGCAAGATGAGTATTAAATAATTCACCTCTCTCACTACTGGTGTGTTTACTTGGGGATCTTATGGGGTTTTTTTATGTCCCGGTGCTTAGCACAATGCCTGTTACTTGGCAAGATCTCAGTGGTATGAGTCATTATTTCATGAACTTTAACGCGCATTCAGTTTCAAAGCCTAAAACTGAGGGGGAAAAACTTGATGTAAAATCAAAACTCTGAAGACAGAAGGAATCTTCTAGCACTGGAGATTTGGGAGTCATTTCTATTGATTATGCCTTTCTTGACTCTGGTTTCCTTTGGTTTCTTCCGTTCCCGTCATGGAATTTCTAACCTTCAACAGAGTCTGAGTCCCCTTAGCCGAGGCCAATAGTTCCACCCTCATCATCTCTTACAAGAGTCCTTGCCAACCACTTATTTACACCTTCAGCCATTTGGATGTCTTTTCAAAGTTTATCCTGTGTAACTCATTGTTTACTTATTCATCATCAGTAAACCCTATTTTTTGCAGAATTTTATCTCAAGGTTCTTAAATGTGAATTCTTTGTCTAACAAATAAAAAAAAAAAGTGGTCTTAGGTAACCACATATCATTAACATGTTCCACATGGTGAGCCACTCTGGGCTTGTTGCACACTGGAGACTGATGTCATCTCTGAGGTTTCCAATCAGAGATGATCAACTTGGCAAGTGTCGCCCTCTTGCTTACTTTTCGCTGTTTGCTCCAGTGACAACAGAGGCCATACCCAAATCCTCTTTGTTTAGTCCTTTGGCTGTAATTACCTCTTTGATTTCCAGGCCTTGTCTTTTTAGACTTTTCAGTCTGCTCCTTGGCCAAACCAACAGAATGTGCTGAAGAGGAGGGAGAAAGGGAAAGAGAGGAAGCAAGCCAAAGAGCTCCTTTCCACATTGATTATGCCTTGAGATAACTGATTTGGAAAAATAGCCAGGCTGTGAAGAAATATTCTTTCAACCTTCTCATTCAAAAAAAAAAAAAATGCTGGGGCCATCCCTTTGGAGTTCAGCAAATATTTGACAGTTATAACAATTACAACTACATTCATGAGCCTATTAGGTAGCACACCAGTGCATGGTTTCTGCTTCTTTTCTTGAAATAAAGAGCTGCTTTTTATGTTTCTTCTATTTATTTCCTCTGTAGTTCTTCCTTCTGACTCTTTCCCCATCCTATTTGCTGGTAACAAAGGGAACATATGCTAGGAATTTGATAAAACCATTGGTTATCTCTCAATAGAAGACAGTCAAGAGCTAAGGGAAGTCTACTGATCAGGATCTTGAAGACATAAACAAGTTATCAACCAGGAAACAATTATTCTAAGTTCGGAGATATTAAGGTAAAAAAGACACAAGATCTTTTACCCTTTAGGTGTGTTCTTTTCAACAAAAAGAGCACACATAAATGACTATTTCTGAACTGTGATAAATGCTACCTACACTGGAGTTATATAGATGTCATGGAGCTCTGAGCAAGAAATACTTAATATGCCTGAAAACTCAAGGAAGAATCCATAAAAGGCCAGTTATTTAAGCTTCATGTTAAAGGGTACTCAACAGTTTTCTCCACAGACAAGAGGCAGAAAGAGCTTTCCTAGTGAAGTTAACAATATATGCAAAGACTTGGAAGTATGAAAAAGAAGGCATGTTCTGGGAACTGAAAATAATTCAGCAAGATGGGGGTTGGGGAGATGTGGGAACCATAGATAATTATTCCATGTTAAGTGCTTGGATTTTATCTAATGGGTAGTACTGTGTCTTTGAGCTCCTTTCCTTTTTCTTCTTGTTCCAACATTTGAAAAGACACAAAACAAGAACATACTGTTCTTTCAGATCTCATTACTGTATCTCAACTTTCTTATCCTCCCTTGGTCCACCAAGGTGAGGTCAAACCTTCCACGCATCCTTCTCCTTTGCTGGATCTGGAATCAGCTCCGACACCTAGATAGATTCCTCAGAGTATTTGTTGTGTGGGGATAATCTTAAAAGACCTCCCAACTAGAGGTCTGCAAATTGGCATAACAAAACAAGCCAAAATTCAAAACTGGGCTTTAAATGCTACAAAAAGTATATCTACATGATGAATTGGTTGTCACTGATGTGCCCTATAATGATTTGGAAAAGCAGGTAGATGTCCAATGGACAAATGCTTGGAGTTGAGTTAAAAGTGTTTCTTACACAGTGATTTCAACTTGGGAACCCTGTCCCCTTTGAGTCTGAATAAGTAGCAGTGGCAGTCCATAGAGAGTTTTCACTGCCTCAAGAAGTACAATAAAAAGCAATGAAAACATACAGCAAGCTAACTAAAATACTAAGTTTCTTTGCATTTGACTGGAATGGTCTAACTTTACTTTGGTAATACTGACCCTGGACTCCAAGATGGTGTCAATCATACAATTGAAGGAGAAGAAACTAATGGATATCAAAATACAGGAACTGCCGAGCTGGATACTGATGTGGGATTCCACCCCTGAAGGCATTGCTGGAGTGTTTCAAAGAGGTTACTACCAGAAGAAGAAAGGGAACATTGCTGAGCTTTCTATGGTACTGGCAGCTTATGTGTTTTTTAACTACTGCCGTTCTTATAAGGAACTCAAATATGAGCACTAAGCAAGTACCACTGAAGAGGGCCCAATGTGGAGTCCACATCCCTGATCATGACCTTCGCCCAGCACCTCTGAATCCTTCCATATTGTAATGAACACCTAATGAAAGATGACTGGTAAAAAAAAAATTGGTAATACTAAATCACATGAGGGGCAGGTTAGCATCGTGGTTAAGAACACACGCTCTGGAGCCAGACTGCCTGGGTTCAGATTGCAGCCCTGCTGCTTATTCATGCCAGCTTGGCCACATTACATAACCTCTTCATGCCTAAGTCTCCTATCTGTAAAATGGAGGTCATGATACTACTCTCTCCTAATTGTTACCTAATAAATGCAGATTGATTAAAGACAAAATATATCAAAAGGAGAGAAAACAATGAAAGCTTGAGCACCATTGGTCTAAATCAAGCAAAAGAAATCACTCCAACTGCTTAGGTTACAACCTGAAACAAGAGAAAACCTTCTTACTTCACTGGAATTCAAAACTGTGTCCGCCCTCTGGCTCTGGACTGAATGTGGAAGGATCTGTGTGTTACTTAATCCCATTTCTTATTCTCTCCTCCAAGAACCAAAAACGTGTCCCTCAAGCCTCTGTAGGCCTCATTATCTTGCAGATATTTCAGACTCCAATATGTTAGCCATTAAAAAGACGTCACTCTGTTAGATGACACCATTGCTGGGCAAGAGCCATAGATAATAAAACAGCTGCCAACCTTCCTTGGCAAATCCACATGGCCAAGAGGACAATGGTGGAAAAGGTTCATGATGGAGGAGGGGGAACAAATAACAAGGCAGAGAAAATTGTTAAATACCGTAAGCCAGGGGACATGATGAACAGCTCTGGCCTGGGTGACTAGGAGGAGTCTGGCAGGAGGCAACTGCCAGAGTCCAGTGCTGGGCCAGCTACCTTGAACTGTAGATGCAGCCACGCTGGCCAGAGAGGGAGTCCAGTACTGATTACTCCCATAGCTCAGCTAAATGTTACCCTTGCCAGGGATAACAAAAGAGTATGCAAAATCTACGGAGGCTAGAAAGATTGCCAGGAAAGAGCAGGAGGAGATTGGCTGGAAAAAAAATACAGCCAATGGCTCTAGGGAGGACAAATGAAAATACAGAAATTGAAAGTGAGACACTTGGAAAGTCATGCTTTTGAAAGTAGGCAAGTGGTTAGCTCATTGGCTCTATGCTGGCTACGTGAGCCTTCAGGAGCAACAGGGGACTAGAGGTGGACAAGGGGGAAGTTGTCTGTTGACTGGCAAGCAGTGCCTAGCGAGGAGGGTGACATTTTCTGGATGCTATCCCTGCTGGATTTGCAAATTCTAAAAGCTATTATCTTACTGTACCCAGTTTTACCATCAGTAAAATGGGTAACACTGTACCAGTACTGATCAACTCAGAGATAAAAGTGGATGACTTGGACCACAGATACTACATGAAATGATTATTACTATTATTTATATGACTATAAATAAATGCATGAGGTTGAACTGTATAAAATTGCTGATATTTTACCATAGTAACTTTGTATGTTCACTTTAATAGTTAAGAGTGTAGACAAGATTTGAGATGCCTGATTATAATAGAGAACTCTACTAACCAGTTGTAACGGAGATTCGCCCTGCACCCCTCCTCCCCCAACTCTCAAAGAAAAGCTGTTTCTTGCAGGATATAAGCAAAGATGAACTGGCCCAGGGCTCATTTCTAGCTGACTTTTTCTTTTCCTGTCTGTGAACTTCAGCCACTCTAATTCCTCATCTCACAGATCTCTTTCTAGTTGTACACTCGACCTTGAGTGGGTGCTATGAGGAGGGGCTAGACTAGACCTTGACAAGGGTTCCTGTCTATGCTCAGGGAGATGGTCTCTCCCTCTATGAACACGGCCTTAGGATAGCAGCTGCTTAAGGGGGGGCACGGAAAATTCCTTACTCCCAAATAGTTCCTCACCACCAGTAGAGATTCCTTTCTTTGGCTTAAGTATGAGCCTCGTTTTGCATCCTCTTCCAGCAAACAAATACATTCACCCCTGTAATGCATTCAGTGGCTCCATTTTTAGATCACCATCCCCTGAAACAATATGCGAAGGGATGTTAGGCACCCAGACGGACTGCCACCAGCCAGTCACATTCCCAGCAAACAACAGTGCTGGCCAACAATTAGCTCGAACTCAGATTGCTTCCTACACCTCATCCTGCAGACCCTGTCGCTTTTCAGTGAGGGGCAACCTATTAAAACTATTTGCCCATATAAATCAACCTCCCCCCCACAGAGTTCTCCAGTCCGGGCTGCAGGAGCTGCGGGTGTGGGCGCTGCAGAGGCGGTGAGTGGGGTGAGGGCATCCGAGGCCTGGGGTTTGGAAGTGAGTTTTTACAATAAAACAATATCTGTAGAAGCTTAATTCTCTTAGGATTCTTTTGTGCTGTCTCTTGTCTGGAACAAAGTAGAAATGGTGGGGGGAAATTATAGCTTGATATTTACAACATATTAAATCCCATGGAATTCCAGGGTGTAAATATTTGTTTTCTGTATTTTCCTATAGAATTATGACCAAATAGTGATTATAATTTACCAATGGACTTGCTGTATCTTATATTTTTTTAATTGATGGTTTTTGAAAGAGAGAGAGAGAGATTTGTTGTTGCTCTTAGCATTGCATTCATTGGTTGACTCTTGTCTGTGCCCTGACCAGGCATGGAATCTGCAAACTTGACCTAGGAGAAAGACACACTAACCAACTGAGCTGTCTTGAGGAGAAGCAATAAACGCTGATGTTATTGTTTTTTTGTGTTTTTTTAAATTAAATCTTTATTGTTCAGATTATTAAAAAAAATAAAAAATAAAAAAATAAATAAATCAACCTCCCCATCATTCAGGGCCTGCCACCAGCTCCTTTCTGATGTGGAACTTGAGTGTCCTGGTTCAAGCCTCCAAAAGTGGACCCCTTAGAAAAAAAGATACTCTCCTAAAGTATTCCAATTCCCTGAACTACAGAAGGACCACTCCACCTGGGATGTCTCGTGGTACCAACAGCACAGCTTCTGGACCACCAGGCCAGCTAGGAGCATGTGGAGGAAACCACGTCACAAGAGAGCCCCCCTCTGCAGTTGTCTTAGACGCAATGAGCCTGGAAGTCAGGGTAAAGTACAAGGTCAAAGGCAGGATGGAGGCTGTTGACAGAGGAGGACCCAGAGTTGTGGACTTCATGGCACTTTTAAAGCAAGTTCATAGAACCTCTCAGTCCCCAGACATATCAAAATTTCAATCCTCTCCTTTTTTATGTATGTGTTTGCTTTGGATGAAGTCCCTGGGAATTATATGAAATTTCCCAAGCTGACTTGGGCTTTCTGGAAAATCTTGGCAGCCACCCTAACAACAAAGAGGCTCTCACATCAGATGTGTGCCGAGAGCCCCAGGAGCCCTCTCTTTTCTCCTCCAGCTGCCCCCTCCCAGCGCAAGGTCTGTGGTTACAATGCTCCCTCTAGCTGAGCATAGTGGACTGTCCAGGCATGTTGACGGACGCACCTCCTACAGCTGCTTCTGGGCCATGACACTCAGAGCGAAGCCTCTTCTCTGCAGTTCCATGACCTCTGTCTTCTCTTTGGAACAGGCTTCCCACTGGTGTGGCAAACCCCCAAAGATGGAATTTTACCTCTCAGTTTGCTACTGACCTTTCTCAACCAAATCGTACTGTGCTTGGGCTCAGCCCCTGGGACCCCTGCCTCCCTGAGGCTCACAGACTCTGAAACCTACTGGGTGTCCTCCTTTTCCAGGGAGCCAGGCAGTGCAGACACGCCCCCACAATCCAGAGCCAGCTCAGCTGGCCTGAAGGGCAGGGAGTGAGAGGGGTGGCTAATCCATAATTAGGATAAATCAGTGTCTCACAGCAGCAGTCCATCTCAGGTTGGAGCCAAAATTGCCTTTAGTCTTTCAAAATAAGCCTATTTATAAATTCGTTCTCTCTTCCCTTCTTATTTGGTCCAAAGCTAGCTCCCCATCGGCCTTGGTTGGGGTAAGGCTTTCTCGCTCCAGAGTTCCTGGTTTTCATTTCTCTGCTACTCCCTAGCTGTGTTTACTGTTTTGTACTAAACAAACAAGTATTATTTTACTCTGTATACATGACTATAGGAAAAAAATCTAAAAATAGAAAGCTGAAAAAGGTAGTCTTATTCCAAGGAGCTTACATTCCAGCAGGGGGCAGAGTCCTAGAACCCAGAACAAAAGACAACAGTCATCTCAAGCTAAAGGAATCTACCTCCCGCCCCCCACCCCCAAACAGGAGGGTCTTACTGTCTCCTCCCAGGAGGAGTTTCCACCCAGAGGTAACACTGGAAATTGTGTCCTGGGGCTAGATCAGATTAAAGGTAAGCATGTATTGACCCACTCCCCACCCAAAGCCAGATTTAGACCACATAATTTCTGAGAAATCTAGGAGAAGGAACAATAGAAGTAAATAAAATCTTCTACCCATTGCAAAGACCATGTCTGGAAGCAAAATCAGTGAGGCTTTCCACTTTGAAAGGCCCAGATGACTACTACTCTTCCCCACAACACAAACACACACACATGCATTCACATACATGCACCCACACAAACACACACACATGTCTTTCTGGTGGAGACTTCTCATCAGGGACCTAGTTACATGCAAATGAAAAAAAGTTGAAGCTTTGTAAGTAGAGTTTGAAGGGTGATGACCTTCTCACACCAGAGTGTGAATGACGATTCCTAAAGAAGCAGGAGAACCACGACAGGCTCCAATGATGGTGACGCCACAGGACTGACACAGTGGACTCACTGAGGCTCCCATTGGGGTTCTGGAAGACCCCATGAATATCACCTCTTATCCTTATTTGAACTCAGAATAATTTCCAAGAAAGACCTAGGAGCCTGATGCAATGGAGACCAAAATACCTGTTTGACTGTTGGCAAAGGTGTCTGGAGACTATGGCACAGGCATGAAGGCTGAATCAGTGGGCTAGAACTCCACTGAAATAAGCTACTCTCCCA